TGATTAGGAGAGTGAAACGGCACCTCACGAAGTCCCAGATGATAGGGTGACTGACGAAATAATTTTCGGAAAGACTGTCAGGTTTGGCAGGCTTTGCATTCAAAACAACGAGACCGTCAAGAGTGCGATACTGGGGGAATGCCACGACACAGAGGGCCTCTTCAGTTGGAGGAAGGTTTATGCTAATCTCCTCCGGCCCTACACCTGGGTCGGTATGAAGCACGATTGCGTTACCTATATCCAGGGATGTCAAGTATGCCAACGGAACATGAGTTCCACACAGGCCCCCCTTGGTCTATTGAGACCATTGCTTGTCCCGTCCGGTCCCGGTGACTCTGTGTCTATAGACTTTATGGACACAAAGGTCAAGAGCAGAAACAGGAAGAGTTGAGTGATGGTAGTTGTAGATAGGTTAAGTAAATTTGCTGTTTTATTCCGCTGCCCGCTGAGGCGAAGACCGACTTAGTGATTAGCGAGTTTTGCAATCACCGAGTGAAAGATTACGGGCACCCACTCACAATTGTTAGTGATAGAGACGCTCACAGCCGAGCACTGACAACAATCGATGAAAGTCTATGGGGTGAGCACTAGCAACAACTGATGAAAGTCTATGGGTCAAAGTTGGCCATGTCATCCGGTAGACACCCAAAGACTAATGGCCAACAGAGCAGACGAACAAACTGCTCCAACAAGTGCTCCACATGTACATTAGGCCCGACCAGATCAATTGGGACAAGCATCTTCCCAAAGTGCAGTCTGCATATGACAAGTCAGTGCACTTGTCTACTCCACGCACCCCGAATGAATTGCACAAGGGTTGGCAGCCCCGGTGTCCGATTGACTGCCTGAATCCTGACCAAATTCAAAGATTGCCGCCCGGTACGAGGGAATTTGCAATTCAGTACGAGAAAGACTTAGAGAAGGTGAAGAAGAACATCCTCAAGGCCCAGCATCAGATGGTAGAACAAACCAACAAGCACCGACGGCCATCGCAATTCATTGTAGGTGACTTGGTCTAGGTAAAGTCAAAGGAGTTCATTCTGGAAGAGGGGATCTCGCAGAAACTGTTACCTGTGTAGAGGGGACCATGGCAAGTCTTAGATGTCAAAGGACAGGCAGATGGTCCATGCTACACTACAGAAATTCCGCCCCACCTGCACATGCCCAGTGTTCCACGCATCTAAGTTGCTTCCCTGTGTTACGCACGATCAATTTCCCTCTCGACGTCCCATGATCCCACCAGATATGGACGGAGGATATGACGTAGACCGAATAGTGGCTGAAGATTCCGTACAAGCCGCCGAGGGAGACCACAAAGGCAATACGAGGTCAGATTCGCCTATCAGGAACCCAGCGAAGATCGTTGATTCCCCAGGGAGGAACTAGTACAGACAGCCCCTCACAATGTCTCCTTTTATGAGAGGGCTCGGAGAGGAATGAACATGTACGGTCGATAAAGTTGGGATTTTTCTTGGAGGACCTCGAAATGAGGCCGGCTGGAGTGAAAGGATTCACGCTTAGACACCCCAGTCCCGGTCCTAGAGTCCCAAAGTGTCCCATCCCCAGGCTGTCCTAGCAGGGTAGGCTGTAGGGTCCGTAGGTTTAAGCGTCGTAGGATGGTAAATGTCGGTACCGAAACGTCGTAGGTCGGTAGAAGTCCGTCCGGTACCCGACAAGAAAAGTCCAGAGGAGTCCGGTCCAGTCCAAGGGTCCCAAGTCCAATTTTGCAGCATGTCCCAGGAAAGCCCGGAAGCTACCAGGCTGACAAATGTTTGCAGCAGACATGCCGCGGCCGACCGGTACCGGTAAGAAGCAGGCAGGGCCAAGCCAAGCCAAGCCAAGCCAAGCCAAGTCCTATATTTAGCTGCTACAGTGCAGTGGCTCATCACTTGTTCATTTTGCAAGATGCAGAAGCGCTGCTGCTGCTTGTGCGTTAAGGCAACTTGGGCACTTCGCGCCTGAGTGAGAAGAGGACGCTCGTAGCTAGGTTAGAGGTAGCGTAGGAGGAAACAAGGTGGAAGCTTACCTGAGTGGGTGTATCCAGGGTGTCGATCTGGGGGAGAGAGAGAGAGAGAGAGAGAGAGAGAGAGAGAGAGAGAGAGAGAGAGAGAGAGAGAGAGAGAGAGAGAGAGAGAGAGAGAGANGAGAGAGAGAGAGAGAGAGAGAGAGAGAGAGAGAGAGAGAGAGAGAGAGAGAGAGAGAGAGAGAGAGAGAGAGAAGAATCAGGAGAAGAAGGAGAAGAATATGAAGAATTCTCCTCTCTCACCCGCTCCTCATGATGATGCCACGAATACCGACCAGCGAAGGTGATGACTCATTATACAAGTTGCTGCTGAAGGCCGGTCCATGACCGGTACGAAGTCCCAGCTATGGCGTCCAGGTAAGTCTATCTCTCCCTCGTGGACGTGGCCTCCGCCAATCTGTCAACTTCAGCCTACTCCTCTACTCCTCTAATGCTGCTCTATCGCAGCTCTCCCCAAACTGGTGCTGCTGAAGCAGTGTGACACCCAACTGAGGCTCCAGCCCGAATGTCCACAAAGTGGAGGACTGGCCATCTATATACTGCTGAGCCTGGCTGAGCAGTCCTCGGTCTGCAATCAGGACCATCGGATCTGATCTCCAATTGATGGTCCTGATCGCAGGCCCAAGTCCTGGTGGACAAAAACGGCCTGCCTGGGTCCATAGCGGACGTCCAGGCAACCCTGCTGATGCAGCAGGGTCCTGAGGACTGGGCCACGCACAAACAGACGAATGCCTGGTCCAGTCCCGCAAACAAATCTGAACCTGGCCTACAATGGCCGAAATTGAAATCTACTGGTCCGAACAGGCATCTGCCTGTTCGGACAAAAGCTAAAGTCCGAACCGACACAGACGAAAATAGTCCCAGCAAAAATAATAATGCTGAATAAAGGAGAGCAGACGTGGAACCAAGTGTGTGCCTCGCCTGAAAAATGGTCGTGTGCCTCCAGGTCGCTCACCAAGAATGGGTGCGTGGCGTGGGGGCCTGGAACAACCGTCGGGCCCCAAAACAGGGCCGTGTAGCGGCCTCAGCATGCTACACTTTGCATTTGTTCCAATGTGGCTTTGTGTGTCGTGAACAATTTTAGAATCGTAGTTTCGAAGGGGTTTTGAACGACTATACAGGCATCGCAACTGTGTGTACGACGTGTTGCGTTGACCTATACAGAGGATTCTGAACCCAGTAATTACCTGCGATTGGTAGTACCGGGACCATGCAAGTGTCCCGTCGCATATACTGTCTGTCTTGCTTTGAGTCACATGACTTGTTTTGGGGCTTAGCTTCATGTGTGAACAACCTCTGAACTGGAGCCTCTGGAGGGCTTTGAACATGGTGACTGTCGAACCGTATTTTTAACTCCCAATGTTACTACGGTCTTTTTCTCAATGATACCAGAACAGGACCACCAAAAAGAAAAGGATTCTTAATGATTGTGATTTGCCTGTTTTGACCTGGACCCGATCGAGTAGATGGAACTACAAATTACCCGATCTCAGTCGATTGCCCCTCTATGTTGGCAGTAAAAGGTCAGACCCAAAATAGTGCTGCCATCGTTACATCTACAAGAGTCTCCGCTAGCTAATTGGCAGACTATTGTGGTAGGCTTAACCACTGGGTAATTAATCAATAATGTGGTATATAGATCCGCACAAGCGGGCCAAAGCCCTACGCCATGCAAGCACGGATTCAAACCGGCGACCTTGGCCTCAGGAGCCAAGTCTCTTAACCACTACAGCCAAGACACGGTGTTCAAAAGTGGAACCATACCGGTAGTGATATCCACCCCACCCCTGCAAGGCTGTAGTGTCCAACGCAACCCACACCACACACAACACCACACGGACACATCCCACGGACGTGGCAATTCTCGCTCACTCCGCTCCGTTGCACAGGACCCCTTCCATCGGTACTTAGCCCGAACACCAATACGGGGTATTCTTCCCCGTCGGTTAACGGGTGCTTCCACAATGTGGTATATAGATCCGCACAAGCGGGCCAAAGCCCTCCGTGCAAGCACGGATTCGAACAGGCGACCTTGGCCTCAGGAGCCAAGTCTCTTAACCACTACAGCCAAGACACTGTGTTCAAAAGTGGAACCATACCGGTTGTGATATCCGCCCCACCCCTGCAAGGCCGTAGTGTCCAATGCAACCTACACCACACAACACCACACGGACAATCAATAGTCACGAGATAACTGACCTCACGTTTCCCTCCTTTTGGCCGAAGGACCCCTGATCAGCATTGATTACTCCAAATGCCCAGAGGATTGACTGTCAGCTTGCCTTCCCTCTACCTTTCCTCTCAGGTTTGTTTACCCAATTCTGCCAAATTTAATGTGAAACCGACAAAGGATAAGGAGATGTGAAAGCCTACAGCCCCTGAACTTGTCAGACTGCTGGATCTCTGATCTTGTAGGTTGACTGCTTCTTTACTGGTCTCCTCCTATCTGCCGTGCTGTCGAATTTATGTGGACTGTAGAAACCTTGAGAATCCATCATGGCAGTGATGCTGGCAAAGGAGATGATGAATGCAAGGCTCAAGGCACAATCTAGATGGAATGTAAGAACACTTGTGAACAAGAAGATAAGTACAACCTTCACCACACACACACACACACACACACACACACACACACACACACACACACACACACACAGAGTGAGAGAGAGAGAGACACACACACACACACACACACACACACAGAGAGAGAGAGAGAGAGAGAGAGAGAGAGAGAGAGAGAGAGGGGGTGGGAGGTGGGTGTGAAGGAGGGGGGCCCGGGGGATGGATTCTATCAGCATTCAGGACTCAAGACGGATGCAGCAAATGGTCTCATTGATGCGAAGTGCTGGATAAGTTCCTGTTGAGCATTCATAGCATGTTCTCATCATTGAGTACCCAAGCCGAGTGAAGTAGACCGGATGCCCTACACTCTGGCACGTGCCCTGCACTTGAAAAAGACGGGTGTCAGAAATTTCACCTTGATTGATTGCAATGACCTCACGATTCATCAAAATTGATTTTGTTTCTTTTGTCATATTCCGTACATCGCAGCCAATCAAAAGTGGAGCCTGCAAAAATTTCACAGAGAGGACATTTTTCCAGCAAGCATGGGCCAAGAACATCAGCACTATGATTGGAACCAGCATGCTCACCATTACCATTTTGAAATTGGGAGGAGAAACACACTGCCACACACCGCACCAAATAAAAAAAAGGCAATTTATTCACACTGGGGATTCCAAAATTCCTGCCAATCTATGAGCAACCAGAAAATGCTGCCAAATGTGAAGGCCACGCCTGAGAACCTACTGGGCCCAGAAAAGGCTCCCAAAGGAAATGCAGGGCAGCCCTAGGTGAAGGCCATGCCTGACAACCTATTGGGCCCCTGTTCCAAGCCCAGCCAAGGCACCTACCCAGCTGGCACAGTTGGGATACTGGCCGGGAAGGTACCTAGGTTGGGACCCAGGCCAGTAGGGATGCCTACCAGAACACATCCCCGCCTCAGACGACAACAAACGAGGTGGCAGCCGGGGCTCATGGGGATGGACAGCGGGGAGTATCTGACGTGAGCACTCACAGAGTGCAGAGTGGAAGTGCCCACGCCAGGCAGAGCAGCATGCATGGGCGCCATAGCTGGTGGCATGCCATACCGCATGTCTTTTGGTTCTTTTTTTTATAAGCATTCCAGTATTTTACTTATCTGCTTCCAGTGGAGTTCGAACTTAGGTCTGTACTTCAACAGTTCAGGGGTGTACCAACTGAGTTAGGCCATACCGTATGTTGTATGGTGTCGGATGCAGTGAGTTGTGGGCTGTATGACATGCAAGAATATGTGGCGATAGTGAGTGGCGCACACTAAGGCATACAGAACAGGTTTCAAGAAATTTAGAAGCCAGTTGTACCTTGCAGCCACTCCGCATCTTCAAACTCCACAGGCGGCATATTCAAATTTCCAACTCGAAGCATTGAAAAACAAACTTCAGAGGCAGAGATGTGCAGACCTCACCTGAGCTGCAGAACATGACACAACTTGACGGATGCAATATGACTTCATACGGACCACAGCAGCAATGAGCCTCGCTCAATTGCACAACATTCTAAGCCACTCCGCATCTTCAAACTCCACAGGAAGTCAAAGCATATTCAAATTTCCAACTTGAAACATTGAAAAACAAACTTCAGAGGCAGAGATGTGCAGACCTCACCTGAGCTGCAGAACATGACACAACTTGACTGATGCAATATGACTTCATACGGACCACAGGTCCACAGGAGCAATGAGCCTCACTCCATTGCACAACATTCTAAACGTATCTCGAGACCTCAGCTGAGCTGCAGAACATGACAGCTTGACGATGCAATATGACCTCATACGAACCACAGCATTTGAGACAATAAGCCTCGCTCCATTGCACAACATTCTAAACGTATCTCGAGCTGGTACAGGTGCTGGTACCTTCAAAATACTCAATCAGTTGGAATGTATGTGGTGTGTATTGAAACGGTTTTCACCTGTCTGCAGTCACAGATGCGGGCCCTAGAATTCGATCCCCAGACCTCACTTTGCCCATGTACAGTATCGAGTCGACACCTGAGTGTTTGAACCCGTGATCTGTGTTTTGGCAGTATTTGTCGTCTGTCGTAGGTCTGTGTAGTGGTAGGGGTTCGACCTGTAGGTCTGTGGATTAGGAGTCACAGCTTTGTAGAGGTCGTAGCTGTAGGTATTCTGAAAGGTCAAGGTCGTAGCTGCTACAGTGCCCGAAAGGCCAAGTCCACAGCCTTCCGGAAGGTCCGGAAGTGGCCTTTCGAAGTGTCTCACGTTTAGTCAGAGGCAAGTGGGCAATTGGTGAGCCTTTAGTCAGAGGCAAGTGGGCAGTGGTGAGCCAACTGCGTTACGTCGGCGGTGCGCATGGATTGCACTGCCAACTCGATGCAGTCGCACTGCCGACGTAACGCAGTTGGCTCACCTTGCCCACTTGCCTCTGACTTAAGGCTCACCACTTGCCCACTTGCCTCTGACTAAACGTACACTTCGAAAGGCCACTTCCGGACCTTCCAGAAGGCTGTGCACTTGGCCTTTCGGGTACTGTAGCAGCTACGACCTCTACAAAGCTGTGACTCCTAATCCACAGACCTACAGGTCGAACCCCTACCACTACACAGACCTACGACAGACGACAAGTACTGCCAAAACACAGATCACGGGTTCAAACACTCGGGTGTCGACTCGATACTGTACATGGGCAAAGTGAGGTCTGGGGATCGAATTCTAGGGCCCGCATTTGTGACTGCAGACAGGTGAAAACCGTTTCACTCCCACCGGCTTAAATTCGAGGTCCTCCGGCATGTTCAGATTTTGCGCTCGCGCCTTCGGTAAGCGCTGAAAACAACGCCAATTCGCGTTCGCGTCCCACAGCACCCCGCCTCCGCGCTGGCGAGGGCACCAACTTCGATTTTCAATTTTGAACGTCGAGCTCGCGTAGCGATGGTGCACGCGACAACCCTTTTTCCTGGAAAACGACACACAAACTAATCCTTCCACTCAAGTGCCCTAGCCATAGCCGGGCGTCCAGAAGAGGACTCACACGCGCGCGTGCCCCAATCACAGGGCAGGAAGGGCGCAATAAGGACAAGGGACGCAAGGACGAGTTCGGTATCTAGCCGAGGACTGGGACAAAGGGAGGACTTGACGCGGGAAGTAAGGAGCAGCTCTCCCCAGGCCAGAGCAGGCAGCAACAGAGACAAAGAAGAGC